CTCTCTCTCTCTCTCTCTCTCTCTCTCTCTCTCTCTCTCTCTCTCTCTCTCTCTCTCTCTCTCTCTCTCTCTCGCTCTCGCTCTCTCTCTCTCTCGTGTGTCGATGGTTCGGCGTCCTCGGGACGTCGGACCATGGAAGGGTCTCTCTCTCTCTCTCTCTCTCTCTCTCTCTCTCTCTCTCTCTCTCTCTCTCTCTCTCTCTGAGGGCCACATAAGCTATACGTATTCAACTGTGTGCTGATTTTTTTATCGGGTGTCGTGTCTTTGTAGCTGGGGAAAGAGACCTCCTCGGGTGCGTTGACGCCGAAGGTGATTGGCAGGGCTGCGACGTTCCATGATAAATATTGGGCGCTCGATTGCCACCTGGGCATCAAAGTCCCCTATTGTGGCTCAATCATTTTCTTGAGAGATTCCAATGAGGCTTACTACCCCTGCGGTGGAGTCAAGAATTACGCCTTTGACAAACTGGAGGTTGCTGAGGAGTTTATGAGATTTCACCTCACCACTTGCTTCGACGCTGATGGTAACGAGGAACCGGACAACCACAAACAGGTGTCACTGCATTTGCAGAAGTTCGTCGGGTACGGCATGCGGCCCGCTGCTATGCCTGGTTTCGATAAGTCGTGGAAAAAAAACGGCTCGCAGGTTGTGATGCTCCGCCCTTTCAACTTTCTCAAGAGAGTTAACTGCCACAAGATGTTTAGCCATGTGTGCACGGTGGACAACAAATTGGCACTCTCGGCACCCGTCATACCGTTCGATATTCAACTTGTTGATTTCGCATCGAAGCTTCGGTCTTATAAATTGCAGGCGCTGGGCCAGGCTATTCTACACAGTGCGATATCTGTTCGCTCGGCGCATGGCGGTGGGGACTCGGGTGCTCGACAAAACAGCTCGGTGAAAATTGCCGAACGTGACAACGTCGTATCTCGTCATCCCCACCCTTGTCCTCGTCCCCCCCGTCCTCGTCTTCCCTCCCTTCCTTGCCGTCCCCGACTTCTTTTCCATCACCGTCACCACCGCCGTAGCAATCGAACTCTTCGTCTTCATTTTCGTCATGTCCTTCGTTCCCTTCAGCATTTCTCTGAAGCACTTGTTGCTTACCTAACAAGTCGTCCTCCGTCTTCTAAGACTCCTCCAGAAGTCTGATCTCGCGCTGCGTTCGCTAACGAATACGGTGTCCAAACGGCCCGTGCCGGGTCTGAAGCGAGGGCAAGGTCCGACGGAGGTTTCATCTTCACGTCATGTTGGTGACAGCGAACTTCCGGAGGAGTCTTAGAAGACGGAGGACGACTTGTCAGGTAACCAACAAGTGCTTCAGAGAAATGCTGAAAGGAACGAAGGACATGACGAAAATGAAGACGAAGAGTTCGATTGCTACGACGGTGGTGACGGTGACGGAAAAGAAGTCGGGGACGGCAAGGAAGGGAGGGAAGACGAGGACGGGGGGGACAATGACCAAGGTGGGGATGACGAGGAAGACAGTGACAACCATCGTAGACTCAAGGACAGCGATGACGATGAGGGAACTGGGGGTGGGCGGGCGGAGGACGAAAACAGCTACGAAGTGGGGAGCGAAGGGGAACAGGACGAAGCCAATGACCACGGAGTGTCTGTCAATGAGTCTCGCAAATGCGCCAACAGTCGGAGGCTTCGCTCTGGAGACGAGGACGTCCGCGACACGCAGAGATCAGTATGCTCGCGCAAGAGAAAATCGAGAGCTAGTGGTGATGAGGAGCAGAGGCGAAGACAGTCGAAGTTGATAGGTTTGGCAGCTTCGGAGGAGGCGTATAAGAAGGCATTGGACGGACAGTGCAAAGGAAGTTGCAGACTCCGGGGACGAGGCGGTCGGGGTTGACCCTCGAGATAATACGTCCAAACCGGAACAATTGGTGTCGGATGCTATCGACACAACGACATGTTTCTTTCTGGAGTATGATGATGACAGCAATGCGATCGACTGGCCTGCCTAGGTGTTTGTAGATGTCCGCATGATTTTGTCGAACCCAGTCGACGGGGAATTCCAGTACAATCACAGACCCCTGAACGAGATGTTGGTCGCCTCCATCAAAGACGCTATGGAACGGCCAAAGAAACAGAAAGAGTGGGACATAAACACATTCATTCTGGCTCCTGTTATAGAAATCATGCGGAACGGGCAGAAACAGTGGCAACGTTTGAAACCCAAGGACATGAGAGACGAGGATGTCAGTTCGTACCATTGGTACGCCGTGGCAGGCCAACACACGGCGGAAGCTGCGAAGAGGTTGGAGAGAGCGAACTCTCCAGTTGCCAGGAAATGGGGCGTGCGGTCATGGAAAGCGCGTGCGGTGTACTTCGATGATGACCATATTGACGGGTATGCCTACATTTCCACATTTGACAACACGAGGGAGACTCGATCTATCCCATCGTCGTTCAGAATGGCTGTCACCGCAATAAGAGGGTTGTGGCGTCATATGAAATGCCTGAAGGGTGACTGGCATCTGGCGAAAACAAAAGATGACAAGGTGGCGCAGCAGCAGAACTATCACGCTTTCCTGCGCAAAGCGATACGGATGACACCAGACACCGAGCTCTGGAATTAGTTGATGAACAATAAATTTGTCCGTAATTGGTCCAACCTCTTGAGGCCGTTTATGTGCCTTGCCACCATTGGCAACGCAGTGTGGCAGTTGGTGAACCGGTTCTTCGACATGTGGGAGAAAGGGGAATTGTCTGGTCAGGATGGAGTCAGGCCGGTTGATCAAGAGGGGAGGCCGGGCGAGGCGTCCGGTGCAGGTCCAGCTGCCAAAACAGTGAAACGGAAAAAGGAACTGGTGCACTACGTGCAGTCGAACAAAAGTCCGAATGGGTACTATGTCTGTGTTCATGACCCTCCGGCGAGCGCTTGGAAAGTGTTCGGGGATTTCACTGTCAAGGAGAAGGAGATGGCATTGGATTTGATTTTGGCAGGCAAGGTCGTTGTCACCACCGGCAGGACTTTCGTAAAGAAACTGATGAACATGAACGACCTCTACACAGAAGTGCGCAGGGAGAGATACATGGTGCGCATGTTCAACTACGTGCTCTTCAAGTCGGAACGCAGGGGACAGCGTGAGTGGAATGACGATTTCTTCATCGGGTATTGATGATATTATGAAGAGATTTGAGCCGTACGGGTTGACGAAAGAGAAATGGGAAAAGAAGAAGATGAAACTTCCAGTTGACAGAACGAACAACGTGCCGAAACGACTGGGGGGGGTGGATGAGGGGAAGTTGGGACAAGGGAATGCAGGGGGGTTCAAGGTGACGACTGAAATGTATATCGAATGCCCGGACTTCCTGAAACTGTTTCTGCATGAGATAGTGGGAGCGGTGAGCCAGTTGAAGGACGAGCTTCAGCGCGTCAACACAAATGCACAACATATACTGTGGGATAAGCGGAAGTGTAATACAACATATTTGCCTGTGTGCATGGTGCCGTTGGACGGGCTGCAACCGAGAGAGGATCTGACTCGTGCTGTGAAGAAATTGAGTTGTCACCTTGCAGTGTTGGACCTGGCTCCCCACAAGAACTTGGATTCATGGACGGAGCAGAGGTTTGTGGAACTTCAGCAAATGATGATGGCTCTGTGTGGGACACATTGGACACTCATCATTTTCAGTGGATTGAAGGGCGAGGACTACATTCTGAGGAACATCTTCAGGTGGGGGGGTGTGAAAGTTCTTCCGGGCCGTTGGCGGCGGCATCATGGCACGCAACCATCCTCATGTGTCCCCCTTCGGAATCTTCCATTGAGGAGCCGTGACTCAATGACGATTGTGTTGCATGACACGGGCAATGACTTCAAAAAAGTCGTTGTCCGTCCAAACGTGATAATGTGTTTTTTGACACTAACTACGAGGAGGGTATGTTCGTCCGTTGCACACAACAGCACATCGGACAAGCCTGCGAAGACAAAGCTGTTTATGGATTTGGGAGAGAGAGCCAGCAATAATGAAGGAGTTGTGTTCATGGTTTTCGAAGGAAGGGGAGGGTGTGCTTCTTCTGGGCAACGTCCAATGTGGGTCAGTTTGGGACTTGCTTCGATCTGGCCGTCATGTGGTGGCATGTGACAGCTCTACCACCATGCTCGAATTTTGTTCGGCGTTTATTGATCACCTCGTCCATAATCCCGAAAGTCGTTGTCATTTCAAGCGGCCCAAAACTCAGCATCGGTCGGACCGAGACATGTTCCTGAAACTCGGGAAGAAGAGAGAATCTTTGTGGAAGTACCTATTCTGCAATGCCTCTGATACATGAATGGAGACTGATTACGTTGCTTAAAAAGTCGTCGCTCTCCAACACCTCCAGCGGTACCACGACACCAAGATTGGTGCAATCAAGATATTTCTGGCACGTTGCGAGGACCTGTGGTTCGACAGAAAAATGCGCCATATCGAAATGTTCGACCAAGTTATGAAAATGCCAACAGAGAACCAAACTCGTGGTCAACATGACGACGGAGGCCTCGGGGAGGATGACATGGGTTTGGAGGACAATCCACTGTTCCACATTCAAGGCGACGAGGACAAAGATCTAACTCCTGGAGATGAAATCGAAACTCACATGAAGAAGAGCAAAGGGGGACCTCACTTTTTGGACACCAAGTTCACAGAGACTGAGGTGTAAAAATGGGGTCATCACATCATATGGCATCCAGGTCTATTCGAGTCATGTGTGTTTGATGGCAAATGACACATGGCTGTCCGAGTCAGAGGGAACTGGATATTCAAAAAGAGACTGAGCAAGAGTAAATTCCTTGAGACTGCAAAGGAACAGTTGTTGTTGCGCATGTTGCAGGCAAACAAGGGTGCAGGAGAGCAAGATATCAGCGAAAAGGTGAACTCCGTATTTGAATCGCTGCTTCAAAACAATCATCTGGAGTATTGCGTTGCTTTCTATGAGAGAAAATTGAGCCCTTCACGAGGACAAATCAGATGGACATTGGAGTGTTGTCAGACGGTACAACTGTACGACAGTGACATATTGGTGGGGTGCACTCAAGCCATGGAAGAGAATATCCGACAGTCTAAGAGTTTAAATGGGACTAGACAAGGAGCCATTAAGACGAGTGTTGTTGAAAAGGAAGGGCATGAGAGGAAGGACGTCAAATATAAAGAACAGGGAACTCATGAGGCATCCGTAGATGAGCTACTAAAAACGCCGTTTTCTGAGGGCGTTGGTGCGGCGCCAGGGGAAAACACGGCAGGTCCGGGATGCGGTGGGGAAGGGGCAGGAAATACAAAGAAACAGGGGGAAAAGGAGGCCACAACCCACGAAGATGTGGGAGATGCTGGAGATGGGGGTGCCCAGCGAGTGCCTAGTGGACAGGGAGACCCGCTTTCGGCAGCCGACATAGGCATGTCGTCACATGGAGGACGGAGTGGGGGGGAGCATGATGCGCGAGATGCACTGGTATTTGGAGGAGCAAGCACATGGGACACTACCGAACCTTTAGCGGATGACAGAGATGAGGGGGACAAACTTTTGCACATGGTATGCACTGGTTCTGGCTTGTAGATGGCCCCAGACTCAATGGAGAGGGAAAAATGTGGTGGTATGGAGGGAGTTCGTATGACACATGGTCGTGAAGTGGGAGATGATGATGAGGAAGCTAACGCGAATGCGAACCTCGAACACAACATGGACGCGGACAGCGAGGATGGTTTGGGAAAGGAAGTTTCCTGTCGTGGCCGATCCAGTGACAGCAGCTCGAATGTGATCAACTTGATCGAGCAATCAGGTGAGAACGGAGGAAAGACACACAGTGAAGGAAGAACGTTGTCATCAGCCAAGCCAACATAAATGGATCATGCTTTGCATGATGGGAGTGAGGGAAGGTGCAGTCCGAAGCGTGAAGCAAGAGAGGAAAAAGAGGAATGCGGTGTGCGGCGCTCAAAGAGAGGGAGGGAGAAAAAAACAGCATAGCACACATGCATGGGCATGTGTGTATGTGTTGCGGTGACGTGTGTGTGTGTGTGTGTATGTGTGTGTGTGTGTGTGTGTGTGTGTGTGAGCGTAAATGTGTGTGTGTGTGTGTCACAGTGTATGTGTGTGTGTGTGCGTGTATGTGTGTGTGTTTGTGTGTGTCAGAGTGTGTGTGTGTGTGTGTGTTTATGCATGAGCATGAATATGGATAAAAGGGTGTACAAGAGGTTCGGTTGTCAGTGCTCAATGAAATACTCCCAAGTTCAATTTTTCATTTGATGACGTCGATCGACAAAAAGCGTTGGAAGTTATGTAATATTCCATTCAGTTTTCCAACGATCCGTTTGAGGAGGAAGAATGACAGTCTATTAATTACGCAATATTTTAATGGGAAAAGGATGGTGGCAGATCTCTCTCTCTCTTTCTCTCTCTCTCTCTCTCTCTCTCTCTCTCTCTCTCTCTCTCTCTCTCTCTCTNGAGAGAGAGAGAGAGAGAGAGAGAGAGAGAGAGAGAGAGAGAGAGAGAGACGTGTGGAAACTTCAAAAGAAAAGCTTAAGGCAGAGCATGTTGTTTTGGTCTCTCTTGAGACGTCCGGCAACACGGCTCCATTTATCATACTCCACTGTTGCACCAAACTCTGGTGAAAAAGAAACACTTTAACCTCCTACCCATCCCCCGCCCAGCAACAGCATCTCTCTCTCTCTCTCTCTCTCTCTCTCTGTCTCTCTCTCTCTCTCTCTCTCTCTCTCTCTCTCTCTCTCTCTCTCTCTCTCTTTGTGTCTGTGTCTTTTGAACGCGGGCGCGCTCGCCCCAGCCACGTACAACCAGCCCTCTCGTTCCCTGTCCACATTGGTCTCTCCTTGATAATTAATTTTGATGTATCTACCTCATATCTAGCTATCTACCCACCTGTCTATGTCCATAAGAGTCTGTCTTGCCTATTTATGGACTTCATACCCTTTAGTCGCAGAGCGACCTTACATAAATCATAGGATTACGCTCGGTGTACTCAAACGTGAAACAGTGCTACCGTCTCCAGAAACGCAGCGCCAAGTCAGGTCGTGGCATTATTAACAGCAAGGAGAAAAAGAAGGTGCAAAGGCATCGCAGCGAGCTCTCGAGTAGAATATGCACATCCATGCTAAGCCGGCCACTAGCATTCGTTTTTCTATTTCGTTTGTCTGAACAAAAACCCTCAGTTCCGTGGTTATGGTCAGCCTAGGGCTTCCAGAGCGTGGTGGCTGTCTCTTATACACATCTAGATGTGTATAAGAGACAGCTCTCTCTCTCTCTCTCTCTCTCTCTCTCTCTCTCTCTCTCTCTCTCTCTCAATCTATCTCTCAATCTATCTATCTATCTATCTATCTATCTATCTATCTATCTATCTATCCCCCCCCCCCCCCAAAAAAAAAAAAAAAAAAAAAAAAAAAAAACCACCCCTGCACGCAGCGCAAACAGACATTAACAACAAATAGTTCAAATTGTTGTTCGGTGATGCAGTTAACCAGTGCAATGAAGGCGAACGCAGCTGTGTACATGCCTGGACTATTCACTTAGCAACGGACGCCCTCAATGAGACCTAAGAAAAGACATTACGTCACATGAGTATAGAGTTGAATAATACGAAAACATTGACCAGCACGAAGAATGAAGCTACTGGAGAG